GGAACGATAGATGCCGCGCCGCGTACCTGCGGGTCGATGACACCGCTCCGACGGCGCTCTTGCCTACGTTGTTTTTCTCCCGGCCGGCCCGGCAGCCTGCTTATCAGATAATGCGGGGAATAAAAAAAAAAAATCATTAAAAATAATAATATTGTATTTTTGTTTTCGTGATAATAGAAATTCGTGAGAAATTTTCAAATCACCAATATACCTGATATTCCCGTGTTGACGCGGTACGTGGAAAGATGAGAAAAAAAAATCACTGATCGAAAAACGTACTCACGTTGTCGCCCGTATCGATTGTCCGTCGTCCATATCGTATAATCCGCCCGCGACCGATAGCGTACATAAGACTAGCATAACATTAAATGCATCAGCACCGTTGTGTTAACATCTCACAAAAACCTTGATTACGTTTAATACTCGTTTGTCCACCCCTATTGTGTTTATGACCAGGCCGAAAACGAAAAAAATCTGAAACGCTGCAAACCGTTTGACTTCCATCAGGTAAGCCGTTGGCTCTGTGCCCATAATACTTGCCCTACACTGTGACTTTTGTTGTTACTGATTATAACTCGGTAAACATCCAACCTTCCCTACTTAGTAAAATACATTATATGCAAACATGTCTATTGTGTACGGTTAAATATAAAAAATGATTTCTAACATTTGTTCCTATCACAGTTTATCTGTCCGCAGGCAAAGAATTGTGAACAAATGGTGGCAGTACATCCTGCCTGAAAATAACATCCTGTTGAAACGTATAATTAAGAAGTCATGGAGTTTCAAGTGAGTTGAATTCATGTTATTAGACATTATTGGATCTAGATTTTTTTCAATGGTTAATTTTTTTTTATTTTTTTATTTAAAAAATCAAAATAAATGGTTACAAATAATAAAGTTTAACAAATTAGATACAGTTTTGATTAACCTACCTCCTGTAAGCTAAAAGCTTGTGTTGGAAGTAGGGAGTGGTTACATTTACATATACAGATAAAACACTTTGGTAATTTTTATATTACAACATTAATTTGATAATAAAAAATAAATGGTCAACAAATATAAAAAAATAAATAGTTTATATATACAAATTAATAAACAAATAAAATCTTAACATGGAGTATCATTAGATTTTTAAAGTACAACCGGTTTCAAATTAAAAATTCATCATCAGTTAGGCCTATATAAAAAGTAAATAAAATGGCTACTGAATATGAAATAATAAAGGAATTCCTATATAATGATTTAATTGTTCGTTTGAAACTAACAATTTTAAATATATGTGTGGGTAATCGCTAATCAATACTAACTACTATTTTAATTTGCATATTCATTAAGTATCTTCATTACTGTATGAAAATAAAATTTAACACATATTATTCTATTTTATACAACATTAACATAATATTACATATTATCAATTAGGACATCAGCCCAATTATCTTCTAAACCTGTTTCTTTAATGTTTATCAAATTCATAATGTATTAATTGGAAAAGTTAACATTAAGGATAGGTGTGGACTGGATAGGATAGGACTGGTTTAATTCTGTAATTTTTAGAGAGGTAAAACAAACTTCTAAAAATGCGTATACATATTTTATATCTTAATGATGAACAAAATAAAATACTTGTGAGAAATAAAGCACTAATTTTACCATACTATTTTTCTGAAGACAAAAAAAAAAGTTATATTTATATAAATATGTTTAATCCATTGTTTAGTCGATGCATTAAATAGTTCAAATTTAATATAACAACTAATTAATGTTTATAATTTGAATTTTTATTTTTGTTTATTTAGTATGACATCATCCTTATAAATCTGTCTTAAAACATCAGCTAAATATCTCATGTTCTTATTTGTATACTAATAGGTTAACTATTGTAAACTTACTTAATTTTTAAACTGTATACAAACATTTATTTCTCTTCATAAACATTCTAGTTAAACTATGAGTATTAATTCATAACTAAATTACTATAGTCAAACTATCAGTTCTATTTAAATAGGTTTTCAATTATTTTATAACAAAATATTAAAATATATCAAAGTATGACTTTAACTTTTTGTGTACAATATTTTGTGCTGATATATTTTATCATAGTGTGATAGTATATTTTTTTTCGTTTTTGTAATCTACTTCATCATATTTTTAGTATTGATTTCTTACTTGTCAATTTTTCTCTGTTGTATTTTGTAATATGATTCAATAATTTTGAATTTGGTTTTCATAAAATTATGTACTAATTTTTATGAATATTTTATGAAAATTCTATACAAAGATCACATTTTACATTAAAAAATTAGAATTAAATATTATTTTGACAGTCTTTAATATAAATGAAATCACACATCAATGATAATATAAGAATCTAGATCATGATGTCTATATTGTTCCCTACAATAACACATTCCTGCCTCAAAATCAAAGCTTATTTACTAATTTCTTTCTTTAAACATTTAAGTTTTTTTTTAAATGACTACAATAATTACCATCACTATTTGTGTATATAATTACACTGATAGTATAATTATTTTCTGAAATATATTATTTTATTTTATGTTTCATACAATTATAATTATATTTAAGTTATACATTTTTATATCCAATAAAAACTGGTTTTAAGTTAGTATGAGTAATAGATAATATGTATGAGTAGGTTTTTAAAATTTAAATTGCTTTTAATTATTTTAGTATTTAAATAATTTAAGTTTATTATTATACAAATAGATTAACAATTAAATGAACAAAATATGTTATTTTATCTATGTATGTAATGAATAATTATTAGTTAACCTATTTACATTTTTAAATTGCCATAAGAAAAGTATACTTTTTAAATATATATTTTCTCAAAATGTTGGATTTGAAATAGAAAAAATACAATAGTATACAGACATATTTCACAGGTCTTAATAAAATTCGTCTCTCTAAATTACTAGATTAAAAAGAAAATTTATAATAAGCATTTTTATTAAAAAAAAAAAGAATCTTGAATGGTACATGAATTTTAATTTCTTTTTTTTCTTTTGAAAAACGCTTTATTTAAGTAAGTAAATGATTTCAGAAGTTTTAAAAAAGTTGATTTAATTGACGATAAGTTATTTATAATTGTAGAGTAATCGAAAAATTCGTAAAAATACAATGAAAGTAGAAATATATGTAATAAATCTAAATGATACTTGGTCATTTTTAGATTAATAGTTCTATTGAATAAAAACTAAATCATTGTCATAGTAAATTTAAAACACAAATTCTATGAAATAAAACCGAAATTATTCGGAGACAAATGTATGTAGTAAAAATTGCTTTTTCTTTTTTTAGTAAAATTTTATGTGAAATGTCGACTTTTTTACATTGTAATTTGGCAAATGTTAATATTATTTTGCGAGTTTCGAAAAAATTCATAGTATATTATAACTAAGTACAAATAATTCTAATAAAGTATAACATCAAAAATTAATCTAAATCTCTGTTGTGTAATTTCACTTAGATCATGTATTTCGTATGAATTTGTTAATGAAGTAATTATTCATCCCATTGATTACTTAATACACATTATAGTATTACACATACAACATAATAAATACAAATTTATTTTTTACCAGTTAAATTGTTTGTAATTTAAAATACTTTTTTTGCATTGTTTGTATTATAATTTCTATCTTGTAATAGAATATGGTGTTTTCTATTTCAAGAAACATATAAGAAATATTCAACAACTAAAAGGTTGATCTTATTTTTAATAGATACCTAAATTCACTAGATCAGAAGTAAATATCAACACATTAGATTCTGATTAAAAGAGAATAGATCAAACATCAATTATTTAACTAATAAAATTCGAACTAAAATATTGAGACTATTTAAAATATGTTTGCCTATTTTTTTTTTTTTTTCATTCGCTATTTCTATACTAATTGAATATACTCCATTTACTTTTATTGATTTATTTATTTATCGCACGAAAATGAGATCACAAAAAAAAAATTAACCAAATAACAATTAATGATTGTGAGTAAGATGTTATTTTTAATTTCCGTCTTTAATTTAATGTTTATTCATTTAAGTTTCAAACGAAAAATTAAATATGAATTATATGTATTTAATCTATGCTAAAATTTAAGTTTAGAACAATTATAATTGATGTAATAATGTTTAATCATTGATTAAAATTAATTATTATGGCGTTTATTATTATTTATATTGTACATTAAATAAAAAATAAAATCTAATTATATGAAGTTCGAAGTATTAACTTAAAGTATTAGTGTTACGGTACGTCGGTAAGTATTGGTTTTCATTAAAATAAACAGAAATTATAACTTGCAATTATTTAATGTGTGTTATTTCATTTTAACTAATAAGTTAAAGAAAAAAATATTAATATACTTACAGTTTTATCTATTTATTTGTATTCTAAAATATTAAACATATTTATACTTTTACTAAGAACAAAATGCCTTGTTTTGAATAGATAATTAATGGCTTTTTATTACGAATGAAAATCACTCTAAAATTTTCAATAAATCTTCAATTTATAATAAAAGCCTTGTCTTATTTTTTCTAACTCGTAAAATGTAAATATTTTTGTTACAGTTAATTAAAACATTTTTATAATATAAATGGAAACTTAACGTCATGCTCATAAACAAAATTGTCTGTTTGGTTTTTATGAGTTTTACTAAGGGAAATTATATAAACGGTTATCTACATTTTATAAACGTCATAGCAATAAAAAAAAAAGACAATTTAAAAAGAGCCGATTGTATTATCAATTATTTGTATATAATTCAATAATTTGTTGTTCCAATATTCTATGGGTAATATCGTTACTGAAGCAGATTTATAGCCTAATTGGCTGTCTTTATTTTGTTTAAATACCAGATAGCACCACGAAAACCTTGAATTGTATATTATCGTGTTTATTCAGACTGGAAGGAGTCCAAGTCCGCGCATATGGGGTCTTCTCGTATTAATTTTAATCCAGCTCCAGTCAGTATTTACCGGTTATTAGCCTTAGCGACCAGTATTGCCTTTCCGCGCCCGGTCGTGTCCGTTCCGTTACGTATTCGTTAGTGATTAGTGATCTTTTTAAAGTGTCTACGTATAATAATCAACGACAAAATAAGAAAACTGTTATACGTCATTACATATTTAAATTTTACTCGTAAATTTTTAATAATCGATTTTTAGTGCGTTTTTTATATCTTAGTCGAATTTGAGCATAAGTTAAATCTCTATATTTGCGTATATAACTTCTAACTACTGAGTAATTATGGGGTTTAACAGAAATTATTTATAATGTTATTTTTATTTTTAAATATAATAATTACATAGTTGTACACACAATTAATCAAAAATTTTTTTTTTCTAAAAAAAAATGTAATAAATAAACCTTTAAAAAACAAGCATTCCGTTTAAGTTAAATAAGTCATTTGAAATTTTACTTAAAAATACTTTATTTATAAAAATAATTTCATGAATAATCTTAATAAAGTGTTCATATTTTAAAATTATGAGTTATCTTAATGTTAGTTAAAACTATTTTAAATGTCACACTTAATTGTTCATAATTAAATTACCACACATTTATTATATCTCATTCTTACGATGAATAATCAATGGTACTCGGTATGTGCATTTATTCGTGATTTGTCATCGGGATATGTTGTGAAAGTTATTTATATGTAGTGTAAAAATTGTTAATTTCACGTTGAATCGTTGAACTTAAGTGTATTCAAATTAAATATATATATTTATAATATTATCAAACTTGTAATATATTTAAGTAGTGTTTTTTTTTTTTTTTTTTTTTGGGGTGAATATTAATGACATTTGTTACACATTTTTTAATTAATTTTTTTAATAAAATCATTTAGATACCAGTTATAAAAAGTAAATTTTTATATATTATAATTAACATTCCATTCCAATTTATAAAAATGTGTTGTACATATGAATACGGGTATAAACTAGTAACTCATAAATAAAACGTTTAAATTTATTTTATTTTTGGCTAACTTCGACTGATTTAATCTCACAGCATTACGGTCGAATTAAAACGTCAAGATTTCCACAAATTAACCATCTATTTTGGACTCTTATGTATTTAAAACTAATTTCATTCACGTTCGCGTTGTTTATTATTCGAGTATTCAAAATATCAAATAAGATATTATTAATTAACACTGTTTATGTAGTTAGGGGCAATCTTTATTAAGCTCTACTCGTACTATTATAGTTATGTTAATTAATAATTGTAATGTTGTCTAACCTTTTATTTAAAAGTGTTATTTTCTTTTTTTAAATTAAATCGTTAATTGTGTGTACAACGTCTTTGAATTAAGGAAATATCTATTTTTTATAAAAATAATTTATAAAACGCACTCGATAAATTCCAATACGTGGAGAACATGGATACAAAAGCAGTCCGAATTTTATCTTTCATACAATATCGTTCTGTTAAAAATCATTCCATTTGAACAAAATATACGGTTTTAATTGTTAGAGTTTAAGTTACTTCTATAATGAGTCATGTATTTAAAAGTGATTAACATACCTTTAGTAAAATGAAATAGATTTTTAATGTCTGTCGTGTAAACTATTATGTGTTAGTGACCGTGTTTAATAATATAGTACCTTACTACGCCTATCCTATTACACGGTACGTTAATTTAATGTTGACGTCTGAGAAACCTGAAACGCAAAATAGATTAATATCTTCAATATTATTCTGCTCGAAATCAACAAAATATGTTTGGATAACTTTATTAGGAGCAATGGACATAACAAATAATATTTTTAATAATATTGTCCGATTATAAGCCAATCCCACGTTTTACCTTGTTCGTATATGTTTGCCAAGGGCACAACAGAAATTCGTATTCTTACATTCTCCATCATAACTTTATTTTTACGCTTATAACTTTTTATGGTTTTAATTTAATATGTATTCCTAAAAAGAATTGAGAACTCTCGTATGCCACTTAAAAGCGTTAATACAGGAAAAAAATCACTTTTTTGGCATTGGTCCCCTCGGTTGACAGGTTTAACTAAATTTAGCCTGATTTATCTTACCGCACATGCGATGACACTTAAAAAAATGTATATTTTCATTAATTGTGATACCAGAGAAGGGGAGAAGAAAATCAACGATTTTATTGCCCTCCTTTAAATAATAAACCCTCTCGGAACGTTACCGGAGCCTTTCCTCTCGACCCACGTCCACTACAGACACACATACATCTTTGATGTACGAAGGCGAGATAGTTACTCGTATAATGATGTCATTATAAAATGAACATTGTTGCAGCAGCGGTGTACTGCGATGTGATAATAAAGGAATGTGTGAAACTAGTAGCCCCTTATTTCTGCAGCTAAACGTACCGTTTACATAAACCGACCGACCATATGACGTGTTCTCTATCGGTTGAGAATATTCGAATACGTTTTTGGAGAAATAAATTACGTTTCATTTTTTGTCCAGTGAAAGTATTATAAATATACATATAAAGAACGCTGGGTTAACATTAACATACGTATAGTATTATAAATAATATTTATTTGTATATTTTTTTGTTAACTAAGGTGTCGGAGACACACCTGTTTGCCGTCGTTTCGTCCCGCGTTATTGCACGCGCCGTTATGCGTAGCTGAAACCCGCGGCTGCAGCGATGGCCAAACCCTAAGAGAGAAAAAATTTACGCCCATTTACGCACGCATAATAATAATATTACTTGATGTAATTGCATTACGCGCGAGCATATATGTATTACGACATTATGGGTATACATGCGTACCTTGCACGCTCGTAGTTATAAATACAAATCATGTGTGAACGAAAAAAGCGACTGGTTTTCTGAAAAGTGAAAAAAAATAAATAAATACGAAACGAAAAACGACGGAGACGCGTAAAGTAATACAATGTACTACTGTGCAAGGCGACGGGCGCACCACCACAGCACGCCAACCCCGGCGCTGATGCCGAACGTCTTCGCGCCGGATCATCACCTGCAGCACCACCCGTCGCACCGTCGCAGCGGCCGCAATGCTGGCCGGCGTACTTGACCGCGTGCTATTGGGCCGCCGGTCGCAGTACCTGCACCAGGTGAACGTGGAACGGGGCCCTCGGCCACCGCCCGGGTCACCGCCCCGACCCCACAGCTACCATGGCCACAGCAACCTGTACACCGGCCGCAACGGCGGCGGTGGTAACGGGACCGCTCTGAAGGCTAGCGGACGCAAGTTGGCCGCCAAGTTTTGGTCGTCGTGCGGATCGCCCCGAGCAGCTGTGGCCGCGACGACGCCGACCCGCGAACGGCCGGCGGCGGTCGACCGGAAACGGACGGCCACCGCCGCCACAACCAACGGCGGATTCTCGAACGTTTCGCATACATGGCGTTTCAAGCGGCTAAGGTAGGCGCTTACAGGGTGGATGCCATGTCGCGCGCGTTTTTCGCATCCATTTTTCCCATGTGATTATTCGAGGTCCTCCAGAAAATGAAGAAATTTGAATTAATTCTTAGAGAAGTAGAAAAATGTTTTTTTCATAATAGTTTAACTAAAAAACAGAATCTATATTGTATGTCATATATATATATATAAGACTATAAGGATCCGCAGGTTCTACTCGTATTTGATTTCCGTTTGTACGTTTACATTTCTGAAATTTACATATTATATTATATTATATTATAACATTAACAAATTAATTACAAAACTACCTGGGGCCGTCAGTTGTCTTCCCCGTTATTTTTTCACTTAATTGTAACCGTAATCGGTTGTTGTCCAATTAGTTCTTAGCTGCTGCAAAATTTGAATTTTGAAGTATTGGAAGAAGCCATAATATCGCACGCAACAACAACGTTCAAATGGACACCGCAAATATTACGGACATTAATTTTAACCTTTGGACTCTATGGCATATTATATAGGTACTGTTTTCAATATTATAGTTATGTAAAAACATCTGCGAGAGTTATTTCAAATTTTCCCATTTTCCTATTGGACACAGTAATATTATATCGTCCGGCCGCTACCGGTATATAGGTGTATTGCGTCATTGCGACCTCGAAAGACAAAAAAGGTGTGTAAATGTGTCTGTGCTTACGATCATCGTCGTCGTCGTCGGCTATACCCGCCGAGTGGGCGGCATTTTTTTCTCCGTTTTCTCGCGCTGGAGACCTTCCCGCGATGGTATATGTATAATATATGTATTATGGTTCAGCAGATGTTGGTCGTAGCCGCGAGACGTGCGCACAGCTCACGCACATGCGTGGTTATATGGTAAAAACCAGATTCTAAGTCGTGTGCAGATTATATTGTAAACGTAACAGTACACGAGTAAGCAACGCACGCACCCGTGTGTGGAAAAATAAGATAGTAAACCGTTCTGTACTTTATTATTATCGTTATTGTTATTTTATTGCAACGCGAGGTACGACGAGTTTTTGTTCGTTTGCCAATGCACACGCATAATATGCAAGAGTCCGGCGCAGCAAGTCCATTGTCCTTCGCGCTGACGTAAAAAAAAACTTTAGGATCACTTTTTTCGTTCGCTCCATTGTCATCGTACATCATGTCCGTCCGCCGCGCGTCCTTTAAACGTGTCCACGCATTTATGCAGTGTTCCTACATGTAGAAAGCCTGTACGTGTCTTCTAAATTTTATTATGTTAATTGCCTTTCAGTCGTTACAACGTTATTGTCTTATATATTTTAAACTTATCCGGTATGAACTATATGTATGTACCTACACTGCTTCGGACTAATTTTCCTATTCTAGTTCTTATACATGAGTATGTGTGTGTGTGTGTGTGTGTGTGTGTAATTGAATAGATTTATTAATATAAAATTGCTTCTTGAGATTTCTATACGTAGCCCACGATATTATTATTACAAATACCTCTATCGACATCCGCATGCGTGTTTCTTACGTTCACTCGAAGCGCTGCAGTTCGAATGATTAACACTTTTGGAATGTGGAAAAATTTCAATTTTTTCCTTTCTATTTAAAAAAATTTACTTTAATCTTAAATATGTCTGATAACATTTTTTAATTCAATGTAACTTCTTTTTTTATTGTTTTTTTATTCTTTAAATGTTTTAAAAAAATCTACCTTTCTTTCGTTGTTAATAAATTACAAATTCATGATTAGATTTTAAGTTTCTATTTCCTCTTAGTTTGAGTACGAGAATATTATAAATTATGTCTCATTTGATTTTAGAGGCTGCAATTTTTAATTACTATACTTTGTATACCGAAACATGAAATAAGATGCTTCTGGCATTAATAATATTAGTCTTATTAAAGAATGAACAAGGAAATGTTCATTTAAACCATACTTGACCGACTGCCAAAATATTTACAATTTATAAAATTAATATTTTAGTTTATAAAGTTTGTGATTTGTAATTTTCGTTAAATTTAAACATTACTGGTTTTCGAATTGGGCTCAAAGTGGAGAGACATAAAAGGACTCAGTCCCCTCTTATAGCGGTTATAAAGCGTCCTCTTTAACATTTCTCCAAAAAGTTTATTGAAACGCTCAACTGTTTGTTAAAAATAATCATGCACAAAAAAAACAGTTGAAAAATTTGTTTTGCAATTTAGTTGATGTCGCTGTGTTATAAACAAAACTGTCTAATATTAAATATTATTGAAAATTATTTAGCATTATATATTTATATACACGTTTCTTTAATTATTTTAATTTTATTAAAATATATTTATAATCTATTATTTAAAACAATAAGTAAGTAATTTACAAGCTTATATATTTTTACAGCACATAACTAATTTGTAGAAAAAATTGTTCACTAACAACATCGCATAATGTATATTCCTATTTATAATTAATTATCTAGTAATTATATGCATAGATTAAATATATTATTATATTTAATCTATGTTATATGGGACTATATGGAATGTTGAGAATGATGTACGGATTAGAGTTCTCCTGCCCTTTTTTTCCACTTTAAGCCCCTGTGTTGGACAATTATTTCGTTAAATCGTATCCAATACAAGATGAGATTTATTTAAAAAATTTATTATTAATAATTCATGAAAATTAGCCGTTAAACTTTTTAGAATCTAACAAGGACATTTCCATGTTGGTATATTGTGCCCCTACGTTTATTATTGTAGGCTGGTATAAATTAGACATGTTGCGTGGGATGAATCCGTGTAGTAATAAGTATAATTACGTTGACCTTTGAACTTTGTCGATTCGATGATGTACTCTCGTTCAAACTGACATTATAAACATCACTTGTGTATATATATATTAACCAAAAATTTAATGGATGATAATTAACGAGTTCCGAAGTATTAGCATTATCGTTAATTAATGCGTTTAAGTCATTTACACGATATTTATTTACATTCCTAACGCTTACCTGAAATGTTTTTTTCTTGTTGGTAAGTGGTCAACGGACTTTAAAAATTATTTTAATATGTGTTTAAGTATTTTACTACATTTTCCATTTAACACGACTGGAGTTGATGCATTAAAGTATAATATAATTTTAATAGAAAAACATACCCATGTTAAAAATCGGCACTAATTATCGATTATCTATAAATTTTTATAAACTCGAATTTCCAGTCATGGTAGCAGAACACCAGGGGAATCGTCGGTTAAGTCAACTACGGAAATGGCTGAAAGTGGCAGCGGAGCTGCAGCGGCTCCAGCTGCCAAAACCGGATCAATCAAAGTACACCTTCCAAACAATGGGTTTAATATCGTGAAGTTCGTCGATAATATTAATGTCAAGGTATACCGAACATTCTATATTCTATAGAACATACTGAGTATTTAAAACAGAATAATAGATACATGCTTATTATTAAATTTTGTTCGAACTATTGATCAATGGCGCACATTTTCTGGGCGCCAAACGTTGTAATGTTTTTAATTTTATGTTGATGGTTAATTTTTTAGGGTATCATATCTCTAGTTATTGGTCGTTTGGCTAATGGATGTCCACAGTATCAAGGTGTTTACGGATTACAGTTATACCATCCGTTGTCTGGCGAGATTCACTGGTTACACCAAGACTGTACAATGTCCGAGGTTCCTATTATTATTATTTATTTCTTACATAAACATTATATTACAGTTTTATATTTTCCAATTTTTTTCATAATAGATTTACAACAAATATGATGAACAATACCCGATGTCCGAGTGGAGATTTGAGTTGCGCGTGCGGTATTCTCCGGATGACATGGAAGATCTGTATGAAAAAGATAGATTTACATATTTCTTCTTTTACGACCAAGTAAGGAAATTTGTTTAGTTCGGCTCATTATTTTAATACAATTTTTCGTAACGAGACTAAAATAACACATTTTTCAGGTTCGGTTCGATTATTTGAAAAAAAATGATCCTGCAACTCGAGTGGACACGGACATGGCTGTGCTACTTTGCTGTTTACAAATAAAATGCTTTTTCAGAGAAATGCCACAAATGTCATTAGAAAAAAAATCCAATTTAGAATACCTGGAACGAGAAGTATGATGCACTGATGGTTCTATAATATTCTATTACTCAGCGAAACTAATGTTTTTTTTTTTTTTCACTTAGATTGGACTGAACAAATTTCTACCCTATTATATACTGGAATCAATTAAACCAAAGAATTTACGTAAAATGATTCAACAACAGTATAAAAAAATTTTGCAAACGCCAGAAAAAGAGTGCGTGTTACAGTTTCTCAATCTGGTTTGGTCATTCTACAAGTATGACGAGGAGCAATTCAAATGTTCGATTGGAGTAAGTTATTGGAACTGTTTTCCAGAAAACTCAAATTTTATGATAAATATTTTAATAATTTCTAGTCTGGTTGGACGATACCTGTAGATCTGGTGATTGGACCTCGACACGGAATTTCTTATATTAATAACCAAGGATCAATAGTAAGAAAATATATAAATATTTAAAAATAAATATCTAATATTGTGTTCATTCAAATATGTTAATAAATAATATTTATTTCGCATTTCTAGCCTACCAAAATGGCAGATTTCGCTCATATCGAAAACATTCAAACACTAGTGTCCGAGTGTGAAACACATCGTAAAACCCTTGTGCAACTTCAAGTAGCCGAATCAGCCGATCCTTTAGTGCTGAGTTGTTCAACACTCGAACACATGTACAACTTAGCAAATCTGATTGATGGCTACTGCCAACTAGCCAAAAAAACAAATGTCTCCTTATGGAACAAAAAAGGTTAGTATATTACACGAAGGAACCCCCGTATAGATGGTTAATTTATGTTATCTTATACCTATTTGTGCGTCTTAATTCCAAGCTGCCATATGGAATCGTTTTCCTTGTCCATGTGATTCTAAAGGTGTGTAATGATGGGTGTTAAAAAATAATAATTAAGATTGCAACTTATTTCAGGTATGACTAAAATATTATCACTGTTTATAGATTCTGGGAAAATCAAATCCAAAGTACCCCCAAGATTTTCCGACGATTATCCCGATGATGGTACTGTAGAAGAAGAAGGCGATTACTCAACTCTCGCAAGTAAACATTTTTAAGAATTTACCTAGTAAAAAATAAATTGCACCCAACCAAAAATAATAATAATCTTTAAACATGAATTTATAAAATAAGTATTATATTGGCAATTGATTCAATATATTTGTTTTAGATTGCAATTACGAGTTATTCCGTGAACAGGTGGAATTAGGTGAAATCATCGGAGAAGGTCAATTTGGCGATGTGCACAAGGGAATATGTCACATGCGGTCAACTAAAAAAACACCCGTTAATGCCGTAGCAGTAGCGATAAAAACATGTAAGCCCGATGCAGACATGGCAACAACTGACAAATTTTTGGAAGAAGCGTGTAAGTACATGCACAGATCGACGCAGTTTAGTCACTAATTACAATAATGATCAAAACTTATGAAATTATATACAAAACCATCAATATTTTCTTATTTTCTTCGTATATACAGATATTATGCAACAATTTGATCATCCGCATATAATACGTTTGATTGGCGTATGTTGTTCGCCACCTGTATGGATAGTCATGGAACTAGCCAAACTCGGTGAGCTACGAGCTTACTTGCAGAACAATCAGGCACATTTGGATTTGGCTACTCTTATCCTATATTCGTATCAGCTTTCCACGGCTCTATCGTATTTAGAATCCAAAAAGTTTGTTCACAGGTAAACATTTCGCATTGTTAATCAAGAGTGTCAACTATTAATGCTTAAATATAATATAGCCCAAATGGAATATTTTACAATATACATTTTTTTTTAGTATTATATTTCCTATTATATTTATTTTGAAATATTAATTTTGTTATAAAAATCAGAACATTGCACTTTTTTGTCATGGATTCTTTTATTGTTATGATGTTATATTGCAATGACCGTGAAAAGAAAAAAACAGAAAAATTATAATAACACATGCGATAATATCATATGGATACATAGTACTATATTATATAGTCTATATAAATATAATATTTCAGTAATCAATATTACCCTAACTAATGTGCCTAGATTAATTTTTTTAACTTAGTAATAAGTATTTGGCGAATTTAAAAAATTTTAATTTATATTGGTAAAAATTAATTAATTAATTTTTTTGTTTTTTCTGTGCATTCTCACTATTAAAATTAATTAATAAATTGAGTGTAAAAAATTATTTTACAGAGACATTGCAGCCAGAAATGTGCTGGTATCCTCACATCATTGCGTAAAGTTAGCTGACTTTGGATTGTCTCGGTGGGTTCAAGACCAAAGCTATTATAAAGCGTCTAAAGGGAAACTACCGATCAAATGGATGTCACCTGAGTCTATCAACTTCAGACGGTTTACAACAGCCAGCGATGTCTGGATGTTTGGTGTGTGCATGTGGGAGATTTTGATGATGGGTGTGAAACCATTTCAAGGGATTAAAAATAATGACGTAATCGGCAAAATTGAAAATGGTGAACGGTTGGCATTGCCTCCGAAATGTCCTCCAAGATTATACAGCCTCATGTCGCAATGTTGGTCGTTCGAACCAAACAAAAGGCCTACGTTCAAAGACGTAAAAGAAGTGCTCAAGTACGCCGAAAGATTTTCATATTTACTATAAATATTCATGTGCCTTGATGTTGGGACTCCTTAATTTTTTCAGTGAAATATTAATTGAAGAGAGACACCAACAAAAAGAAACCCTCAGGAGGGAAAACCGGAGAGTGCATACTTTATCTTGGGGTGAGTAAAACAAAAATCGATTTATGTTAGTGTTAAGCTAATGGAATCAATTTTTTTTTCAGGATCGAGTGGCTCTCTAGACGACCCATCTGCTCCACCCAAACCTTCTCGTCAACCGAATGTGGACCATAACAACAAGACTGAATTGCCAGTTTCCACGTATATAGTTGCCCAGAACGCTGAAGTACTGGCTCATCTGTTAAAAGAAAATGAACAACGGGGCGTCAACCCATCCGTGTACACGACACCTGCCACTGGATTCAACACGGTAACAGTAGATTTTCTTAATGACATTGATGACGACAAAACCATTTCGGCCGGAAACAGTATACTGAGCATGGACTCTGTGGGACTAATATCTATGGATGGGGGTGGTAGCAGCCAACCGTCTACTAACAAAACATTGCCTAGGAATTTCACTTCAGGGGCGGCTTCACTAACACTACCAAACTTGGCAGATAAGAGACGGTGTTCAGACGGCAGTCTGGGCACATGCGCTGCTGCGACTGGTGGAGGAATAAAAAATGAGGTTCAGTGGTTTCGTGATGTACCCGGTTACATTTTGCATGATTGTAATTTAGTTTCTTTTTCATCCCTTATTTTCTGCACATTTCTATTTTTATCTTTTCACCCTTTTACCTTACCTACTACTAAGGTTGTAGTAGTAGGATGCTTAAACTCCAAACAATCCATTATTCTTTAAAGTTAAATGTATTACAGGGTTTTATTTTTCTTGCAACATATTTTAAGTTCAAAACTTTTTGGATACTATATTATATTTAACTAAATCTTTTCAGTTATGTTAGAATTTCAATAATATCATTATAATTATCTTACCATTATTAACATTTTATTATTTCAGTATCCTACAGTTAGTTACATATAACTGACAAAAAAAAAAAAAAAGGTTAATATTATTAAATATTATTATAACATATTAAATCAGTATTTTTTCAAGATAAATAATTGTTTTTAGAAAAATAGAGAGAAAAGTGGTAAAAGTTTAGCCTCATTAACCATGCTTATGTTGTTTTTTTGCTACTTATATAGTATATTTCTTGCATGCTAACATTAAATAACTGTTATATTTGTCACTCGTTAGATTTAAATAGTTCCATAGTATTTGTAGGTAACTAAAAACTTTTCTTTATAACATCATTATTATTTTTGAAATATAAATAATTTGCATTTTAATATATTTAGGGAGCTAAGCATTTTGGGAACAATTCTGTTGGTGTTTATGATAATGAACCTCTATCTGATGTAGAACAATTAGAACGTAAGCTAAGGCAACAACAAATTGAGTCCGAAAGAGACAGCTTGTGGCTAGCTGAAGAAGAAACCAACTTAGTAAGTACTTTCCTATCCTTTAACCCAATCACTTAAATTTTTAAATTTTCATTAATAAATACAAATTTTGTTATTATAGAAAAAAAGGCTGTCATTAGTGGCTAGCACATCAGACAATGAATCTATTGATGGCCGATCGTCTTTGACACCTCCTTCGTCACTAGATCGAAGTACCAAAACCAAACCTACTGAAGAACGAGTTATTGTAATAAAAGTGAGTCTTATAATATTTATATATAAATTATTATTATACAATTTAATGTACTGTGTAGAAACTCGAACCTACTCCAACAGCTGATTTGGACAGAACTAATGATAAGGTGTATGAATGTACCACTTTAGTAGTCAAAGCGGTTATGACTCTGTCGCAAGGTAAAATTTCCATCATTTCTTAAATTTAATTACATTTGAATTATAAAAGGATAAATTTAATAGGAGTTCAACAGAATCAGACTAATCGATATTTGGAACTAGTCAAAGAAGTGGGTCTCCAACTCAGAGCTTTATTGACTAGCGTTGATAGCCTGGTACCTTATTTCCCTCAAAGTGCTCACAAACAAGTAAAACAAACATAATAAAATAATAATTATCCAAAATGATTGATGAAAATTTTTATTTTACTTTAGGTGGAGATGGCACATAAAGTTCTCAGCAAAGACATGTCAGAGCTTGTCAATGCAATGAAACTTGCTCAAAATTACTGCCATACTGCTGTTGATTATTTGTACAGCAAGTAAGTATTACCACATTAAGTATACTATTATGTAATTATATAAGTTTTTTTTTATTTTCAAATGTTATTTGTTTTTAGGGAAATGTTATCTTCAGGTCATATATTGGCTATGGATGCAAAAAACCTACTGGATGTTGTCGACTCAGTACGCATGCAGTATCCTGAAGTTGAAGCAATAATCAGTGGACAACAGTCAGAAGCTTCTAAAGAACAACATTCTGGAGTAGCCACTTCATAGTAGTACTTTTATAGTATGCATTCCTAATTTATTACACATTTTTAATACACCAATATTATTACAAATATTATTTTGTTTAATATAATAATTAATCGACTGCCTAGCAACGTTTTATTTTTATTTAACTACATTTGTAAATAATTTATTAACGGGACATGTTTTTAGTTTTATAAATCATTGAATAGAATTCTGCATCGTTAATGCTATTTATGTATTAAAATACAATTTATGTACTGCTTTCGTCGCTATTAATATTTGGAATTATTATTCGTTCCTTTTATAATTCTTGGGTGCATATGTGAAAAATTATTTTGATCCCAATCTACTAGTCATAAAATATTTTACTTATAAATAATATTGTTATGTAATTTATTTTCCAAATAAATGGAATCAAATAATCGAATATTGTGCATAAAAATTAATTAGTCTATTTGTTATTTTTTTTATTTTTTTTATTATTATTATTATTATGTCTGAGTGATATGCATGTTGACATTTACCAATTATTATTTTAGTGTTGTATCAAATGTGTGAGTTTTTTATTTAGAAATTATGAGTGAAAGCTATTGGTTTCCATTCTAAAAATGTCTACTCATTTTTATGAAAGTAAAATACTATTGCAATAGAAATAAATAACTAATTATCTTTTTACTTACATCAATTGTATTTTCTAATTGTTACATTTTTCAATAATTATAAGTGTTGATCTATTCTAGGATACAATTTTAACATTTCCAAACCGTAAAATTTTCATTAAGAGTTAACTAATTATTTTAATTTATGTAACACATTTTTTAATTTTATTCAAATTCAAGTTGACATTTATGTTAAAAAAAAAGTAGACAATAAATTATAGAAATATATTATTTTATTTTACTTTTTCACAACACATGTGGTAATTTAAAAATCGATAGTATTTTACAGCTGGAATGGTCACAAAAAAAAGCGGAAACCATAACCTTTACAAATAGTATTAATTTTCATGTGATTATACATATTTTTTTAAACGCTCAAATGTTATTATTTTCATACAGTGGCAATGTATTGTTTTGTTTTTTACATAAATAATAAAATATGATATCAAACTAACTTTTGTATATAATTTGCCTGTAACATTCTTCAAACATATTTATAACATAGGTCAAAGTTATTGTAGAATGTAATATAATTTATTAATCTAATCATTTATACAAATGTACATACAAAGAAAAAATCCAGTGGTTTAGATTTTATATTTATATATCTTACATAAAGTTCAATACTAATATGCTTACTTCACTCAAATTTTCCTTATTATAGTTGATCAATTATTATTGTTTTGCAGTTTTACTCCTTTATATTAGTGTTGACACTTAGAATATGTATTTATGTTATTAATTTACTTAAAATATTATAATTAATTGCATTTTTGCTTATATTTGACCAATCAAAGTTAACACTAAAAAAAGTATAATATACTTGACTACTAGACTAACTCAAAATCATCCAGACATATCCAAATACGTGAAAAAAATTGGGTTATAAGACTCAAATTTCTTAAGGAAAATTGTAGAATATTAACTTCTATGTTCGTTATTATTTATTACAAGTTTTTAATCATGTTATAAATATACAACAAATTATATCGCATTTAAGAATGACGAAAGTAATATAGATTAATGTCATAGTTAAACCATTATCAAACAATATAGATACATTTTAGACCTATTCATCACAGAGGTACTAATTTTAATCAGAAACTTAATTTCAATTTTTTTTTCTGGTGAACAAAACAGGTCATTTTGAAATGTTACCAGGCCATATAAAAATAGGTATACGTATATGCACATCATCCTGTTTACAATTTTTTTCATAGATCATGGACCGAATAATTACATCATCTCAGTGGTGAAGCCAAGCAGGGGTTAATGGGTTATAACCCTCTTCTCCTGAAGTGTTTCTTCTCATTATTTTATTTGATATATAATCATTTATCACATAGGTGTAATGATATATCATGTCATCATTAAACAATTTTCAGTTTCAATCATCTAAATAATAACACATTTTGTATATATATAAACTACAAATTGAAATCATCCCAATACACAAGTCAAGGAAAACTAAAATTTCACCAAAAAGTTAAATACCTATTAGCCTATCATCTACCCTCTTTAAGTTTCTAGAATAAATAATGCTCTACTGAATAGAACCCTAACAATTATTCTACTCAATGAATTCGGTTTCAACCCCATAAACATCATAAACCACTAACTTCAACATATAACAGAAATAATACTCAAAGGATTTGAAAATAAAGAATACACAACCACCAATATAAGGCATATCTGTCTTCTGCATTATCAAAATGTACAGATCTATCTTTGAAAAATACTATTTTCATTTATTAAAAATAGCATATTTTAATTATAAATAAATAAAAGATAGTTTTCAAAAACACCCAATTAAAGCAGAAGTCTCATAATTTAGTATCTTCTGTTATAATTTCCACGTCCACAATATGATAAATAGCAATGAAAGGAACACTACTATGGTACCTAAGATAAAAATCTTACTCAATAACACACCTAAAAATCTCACTAGATCATATACTAAATTAATTCACAAAATGGAAACATCTTAAGACCAACGAAAAATGAAACAAAAATATTTACATTAATATACATACAAATTGAACCCATACTAAGGAAAAATAAAAATCGATCAAATTCCCTCAAAGACTTCCATGATGAAAATTAACCGGGAAAATCAACTATTAATAGAAAATTAAGCCTTATACAAATTACTATTTTATATCCTCTCCACTACAACTGAATTCTACAAATGAAGCATTAGAATCATTTCTAAATTTTAGTATTTGAAAAAAAAACCAAAGATTAAAGTCACAGTTTTCATAAGATATATTGCTGTTCATACAATCATTGTAGAAAATGCTCACTAATACTTAAAAAACTATATTGTTATAATATAACTATCACATTTCATATAATGTATTAATTGTATATGTTGTAAGAACAATTTTATATATAACTTCTTTGTTATTTCACAAAAATAATAATATAAAATTAACTCAAAATCATTTTAACATATTAGTTTAAATAATCTCTTATAGTTTGTATGTTAAAAGTTATATTTACATAATTATAAAAAAGAATTATGTTCATTAATTAGCTTAAAAATCTGATATTCCATAAATGTACAATAAAAAAAAAAAAATGATATGATCACTAAAACTAGATTACAAATCAATAACCATGCTTAGCTCCTAGTCTAGCTAACTTATCAGCTTCTTCATTACCATGACAGCCACTATGACCAGTAACATGGGTCTAAAATAAATATGTTATGATAAAATATGAAATAAAAATATAAAATGTATTTACTGTACCCAACTAACTGAATCCATCGACTTAATTAAATGGTCTAACATCATTAACATTTCTTTGTTTTTAACTTCAGACCCTGCACTCGTTTTCCATCCATTGGTCCGCCAACGTGGCACCCATTCATTCATACATTTGATGACAAATTCAGAATCAGTATGAATATTCACTTTAGTTAGACCTAATAATAAATATATTCAGTTTGATTTAATTATATCATTTGTTTACGTGTTACACAATAATTACCAGCAATTTCTTTCACAGTTTCAATTGCTTTAATGACTGAATAAATTTCTGCATTATTATTAGTTTGTACTCCAGGAACTTTAAAAGATGAATTCCTAATAATATTATTTTTTAAATTTTATGAAAAAATTATTTTTGATAAAAGCACTTACAAAGGATGAGAATCTCCAAACCATATTCCTGCCCCAGAAGATGCTCCTTTATAACCATTATTTGAACAAGCACCATCTGTATATATAATTACTTCCTTTTTTTCATTAAAGTGGAAATCAACAACTAAAATGTATATAATATAAATATTTATAATATTTATAATTTCATTTAAATTAATAAATTGATGAAAACATTTAATTTTAATATGTTAAATGTGAAAATAATTTTAAAATTAAAATACTTTAAAAAAGTAAACTTGTGTGTAAACATTTACTTGCTTAAAAAATAAACAATATTTAAATACATTTTACAAATAAGAATTTTAATTACCTTTATCAGATAACAATATAGATTCACAAGTTGGAAGGGTTCCATTTACAATGTGGTCACTACAAAAATAATAATTTGGTAAATGTTTTTTATAGATATATTATTGTATTCATACGATTCTAGTGATGTTAATAAAATTCATTAAAATCTAAATAAAACAATTGGAAATTTAGAATATAATTTACATTAATCAATACTCAAATAAACAGCAATAAGGTGAGAACAATAACATCCACTTATGCCAAATGCAGTGGTGGATCTAGGATTTTATCATGAGGGAGGATATAAAATATTTTCGTAAATAATATGTATAGGTATAAGCTTTATTCTACTAAATTTACAAAACAAAATTTAATTTTCTTGATGACTGTGCCATTACTCTATGGCTGTATTCCGGGTCATGATATAAATACAAGGTGTATATCTGTAATCTAATATGAAGTTAGATACTAATGTATACACAAGTATATTCTTCTTGATTAATAAATAATGAAAATAAAATAATAAAAAAATAATTTTTATTTAAATTGTGCATGCAAAAATTGAATTGGAGGCAAAAAAAATTTTTTTAACTTTCGGCCCATGGGGGGATCATCCCCCAAATCCACCCCCGTAGATCCGCCATTGGCCAAATGTTTGTTTGTTATATTATTATTATTATTATTTGTTATATATAATTGTTGAATTAATATGTAATTATAAGAAAATTCTAAAACATACTTTGTGGTGTTAGATAAAGGTACATCTTTATTGGATTCCGTTTCATTTACTTTCAATATTTCATTAAGTTTACCAATAACTTCATAATTTAAATCCTTCAATTGCTTTATACAAAAACCTGATAATCCTGGAAAACATGTCAATGATACTTGTAAATCATTGAATGCCTTATTAACCTGAAAAGATAACCAAAGATTAAGAATTTAAAACTTGAATAACTTATACTCAATAGGTCTCATAATAAAATAAAAAATTCAGTACCTAATAAATCATATCAATGAATATCTTTATAATTTTTTAACTATTTAAAATGTATATTACATGTATGAACATTATGTAAACAAATGTATGAAAAATAGATCTACAAAATCTTTTTAAATGTGCGAACAACTGATAGTTAATGAAAGTTAAATGGAAATTTAACTTAACATGGAAAATTACTTTTTCGGAAAATTCTTTCACTGAACTAATTACTGAATTGTTTTGATCTTCTTTGATTTTTTTTCTTTTTACACCTTTATCTCCACTAACAACATTCATGGATTTTGCATTTTGTACAATCTTAAAATTGAAACCTTTGATATAATTTTTTGCTTCTGTTACCGTAGCAAATTTCTTGGCGAACGAATTGGGACTAGCGTCTCTCATCCCACGAGCAACGTCCCTATAGTTAAATTCAAAATAATTCAAATCATTCTAAGCTGATTAAACATTAAGAGAACCAACGATTTCATGCTACAATATAAAAACATGTTAATAAATTACCAATTATCGGCTATTGAGCCCGATTTCGACGCTCGGAAAATTACAGCGTAAATAGGCATCTGGAGGAAATGACAAAATATTCGCTTGTAGAACAAAAGACTATGGTACGTAGTCCTGAAATGCATATAGCTTTATATAAAGCCAAGCTGTTGAAGTCGTGTGCAACCTAACACACGGCTAATACGATTCAACTGTAAAAGCATAAACGATGTTGGTCGTTCCGGACGTTACATTCAACTTGATAAAAATGGTAATTAGTGTTTTATTTCGAACATAGAACATAAGTTCTCGGATTCGAAAAATGTCCACGGGTCGTTAAAAATACTGTGCACCACTACGACACCAAAAACGTATGTTCCGCTAGAAATATTTGATAAGGGAGCCCAGTGGTTTCTAAGATTGTTATATTATTGTCGATCATCAAATTGTATGTTGAGTTGCATATCGTAGCCCCAAAAAAAGGTGCATGGTTCGGGCGATATTTTATAATGCGATACCGACGACTTTGAATACTATTTAAATATAGTTAAAAATAAGTACTTCCAGTATATAATATAAGCCTTATATTATATAGTGTACCTTATATTATAAGATATACTATTAATATTAGTATATATGTATTAATGTATTAAATACGCAGTGGCGTATATAGGAATTAATTTCGGCGGGGGGTTATGAAAAAATATATACTAAATGAAGGTTATAAATTAACTTATTTTTAATAACTATGAAAATTAGAATACATAAATTTAATTACAGGACAAAGTCTAATTTTCGAGGTAGATTTGCAAAATTATTTATCACTTCTTCAGTGTTTATTGAAATACTTCGATGAATTGACATGAGATAATCCTGTTAGTCGATTTTCGCTTGTACTATTTCTCAAGCACGACTTCAATCTTTTCAATATCGAAAACGATCTTTCTGATGACGCTGTTGAGACTGGTAAAGTTACTAATATTGACATTAAGCACCATATATTTGGAAAAAAATCAACGAATAGTTTATTCAAAGTATCAATAGCAGATTTGGATTTCTGACAAACCACGGAACATTTGCAATTATTCTCAGGACTTTGTTTTGGACAATTTGCATTTTTTT